ACCCTAGAGGCTTTTATTCTGAAGTGTTTAGGTTCATGTGTGACTGATTTAATCCTAGAGGCTTTTATTATGAAGTTTTTAGGTTCATGTGTGACTGATTTAATCCTAGAGGCTTTTATTATGAAGTTTTTAGGTTCATGTGTGACTGATTTACCCCTAGAGGCTTTTATTATGAAGTGTTTAGGTTCATGTGTGACTGATTTAACCCTAGAGGCTTTTATTCTGAAGTGTTTAGGTTCATGTGTGACTGATTTAATCCTAGAGGCTTTTATTATGAAGTTTTTAGGTTCATGTGTGACTGATTTAATCCTAGAGGCTTTTATTCTGAAGTTTTTAGGTTCATGTGTGACTGATTTAACCCTAGAGGCTTTTATTATGAAGTTTTTAGGTTCATGTGTGACTGATTTAACCCTAGAGGCTTTTATTCTGAAGTGTTTAGGTTCATGTGTGACTGATTTAACCCTAGAGGCTTTTATTCTGAAGTTTTTAGGTTCATGTGTGACTGATTTAACCCTATAGGCTTTTATTCTGAAGTGTTTAGGTTCATGTGTGACTGATTTAACCCTAGAGGCTTTTATTATGAAGTTTTTAGGTTCATGTGTGACTGATTTAACCTTAGAGGCTTTTATTATGAAGTTTTTAGGTTCATGTGTGACTGATTTAATCCTAGAGGCTTTTATTATGAAGTTTTTAGGTTCATGTGTGACTGATTTAATCCTAGAGGCTTTTATTATGAAGTTTTTAGGTTCATGTGTGACTGATTTAATCCTAGAGGCTTTCATTCTGAAGTTTTTAGGTTCATGTGTGACTGATTTAACCCTAGAGGCTTTTATTCTGAAGCTTGACAAGTCACTAAAACATTTTTATTTGAAAAATATTGTGATGAAAAACATGTCCTTTTTATAAACTTGTAAATGTAAATTGACGTTTGTTTTTATTTATTTTACATTTTAAGACGTGTTTTCAGCCACACCTTTTGGTTCAGAGAGGTTTTTATATTTCTGTCTTCCTGGTTTTGGTCACTAAGAAAAACAAAAAGGCAAACATTCAGTTGTTTCAAAATAAAAGCATGAACTGAACAATTAGGGTTCTGTTTATGCAGGATGATGTCATATGACATCATTCACTTTATCACCATCATCATCTTCAACACCATGGACTTGGAGCGATGGAGGCTCTCGTCTCGTGGCTGAAGCAGAGTTCAGACAGGGCAGGAAAACCGGTGTGGGCAGAATCTAAACTGGAATCGTAGCGTTGTGATTTTATTTAGACCTTCAAAAATCATGTAGGTAAACCTTTTTGTTTTAGCTTTAGAGGCTCAGTCTTTGAAGGAACTTTAAGGAAGTTTAACAACCAAAATATGTACAGAAATGTAAAATGTCTTCCTCCTGCAACGCGCTGGCCTGCAGAACCATCACTGGCATGTTTACTCCGATTGCTTCTGCATTTCTGTAAAATCACAGAAAGTTGTTCAGGTCGAACAAGCTGCTTCCCCGGTGCCTTCCAGAGGCAGCGTGATGACGTCATCATGCCTTCCAGAGGCAGCGTGATGACATCATCATGCCTTCCAGAGCCAGCGTGATGACGTCATCATGCCTTCCAGAGGCAGCGTGATGACGTCATCATGCCTTCCAGAGGCAGCGTGATGACGTCATCATGCCTTCCAGAGGCAGCGTGATGACGTCATCATGCCTTCCAGAGGCAGCGTGATGACGTCATCATGCCTTCCAGAGGCAGCGTGATGACGTCATCATGCCTTCCAGAGGCAGCGTGATGACGTCATCATGCCTTCCAGAGGCAGCGTGATGACGTCATCATGCCTTCCAGAGGCAGAGTGATGACGTCATCATGCCTTCCAGAGGCAGCGTGATGACATCATCCGCATTCAATTCAATTCAAGTTTATTCATAAATCTCCAAGTCAGGACCAGAGTCGTCTCAAGGACCTTCACACAGTAAACAATACAGGTCAGGTCATTAAGCCAATCAGCAACAAGGTTCCTATATAAGGAACCCAGCAGGTTGCATCGAGTCACTGACTAGTGTCAGAGTCTTTACAGCAATCCTCATACTAAGCAAGCATGTAGCGACAGTGGAGAGGAAAACTCCCTTTTAACAGGAAGAAACCTCCAGAGAATCCTGGCTCAGTATAAGCAGCCATCCTCCACGACTCACTGGGGATGGAGAAGACAGAGCAGACACACACACACACGCACGCACGCACACACACACGCACGCACGCACGCACGCACGCACACACACACACACACACACAGGTTACATTGTGATTTCTTAGTAAATATTCTATTTGGTGAGAGATAAACTTTATTGTATTTATCCTAGTGGATCTATAACTAAACGGGTAAACTAGTAGTAGCACATCCAACGTCAAGGAAGCAAAAAGTTATTATCAGGAGAGGGAGAATGTTTAAGTGGTTAGCAGCAGTGTGCTAGTCGATGGCCCCCTCCATGAGGCCACCACAGCTCAGCAGAAGATCGTTGTAGCTTCTTCTGGGGAGAAAAACACTTAGAGAGAAAATAAAGTTAACAGCTGAAATAGCTGGAAATAATACAGTTAAAGAGCAGACTGTAGAAGAAAGCAGTAGAGTGTGGAACGTGGTCAGTGTGTCCTCCAGCAGTCTAAGCCTATAGCAGCATAACTACAGAGATAACTCTGGATAATCTATCCTATTAGATGGAGGCATGTTGGAGGCAGGGCAAGGGAGAGCCGTCTACACTCCGACAGAAATTCAGGCTCTTCATCCAGACTTCTGGTACATGTGCGGTCTGATTTAGACGTTCTGACTGATCTCTGAGTGTTTCTAAGAGAATAAGAGGGCATGGGTTTATTTTCAGTGGAACGGGTTTGCTCGGGTCCCATCAGAACCTCTGACAGGGCTGCGCTTGTTACCTCTTTAGTGATGAATTACCTTCTTCAGCTCTGATTAGTTTCATCAGCTTGAGAAGGCTGCAGAAGTCGTGTGTTTGGACTGTAAACATTCATGTTGCCGTGCAACTCGTGAGCGCGTCGTCTGGCTTCGCATCGAGACTCCGGTCGTGTTTATGGCTCCTGTCTAATGAGTGAATGAAAGAATGAACAAATCAATAAAGTCTGCCTTCATGTTGTGTGTCTGTAAAGTCCACCGGGCCGTGACGCTGCTGCCGAGGCCCAGTTGGACAAGCCCTCTCTGTGTGCGACCCGGTGGACGCTGTTGTAAAGCTCACACACATTAACAGGCTTTATGGAGTGTTGAGAAAGGTCCTCAACAACCGCCGTATTCAACCTGCAGCCACACCCTCCGGGCCGCAGACAGAGGCGGCCTGTCTGCGGCTCCTTTCAGGCCCGAGTCCTCCTGAGTGCAGAGACGCTACCTGCAGATTTCTATCAGGCAGCAGAGAAGAAGATGGGTCAGATAAGGGAAAGAAAGGAGGAAGAGCGTCATGGTGCTCAGAATACAACAAACGCTGTCCTTGTCTGTCAGACTCTGATGTCAGCTTCGCTCAGAACAAACCCAAGTGTTTATCAGGAGATCCGGATCAGGTTACAGAACCTCTCCTGGATTTATGTGTGGAGTTCTGATGTCATGTTGCCCCCCCCCCCCCAGCATCGACCCTTGAGGAACGCCCATAGACGGGTAGAGGAGCAGATTGGTAACCCTCTGTTCTCACTAAGATATAACTTCTGAACCACGCCACGGACGCCTGAGAAGGTCCTGTATGTCTGAGTCTACTGAATAAGATGTTATGGTCTACAGAGTCAAAGGCTTTAGCCAAGTCAACAAACACAGCTACACAATACTCCTCATCGTCAACGGCACGCATGATGTCATTTAGCACTTTAAGTGTAGCAGAGACACATCCATGGCCAGGTCTGAGGCCGGACTGCATGGGAGTAATAACACTGCTGGATTCCAGCTGGTGAGTTAGCTGTTTGTTGGCTAACTTTTCAGTGACTTTAGAGGCAAGGCAGGATAGAGATAGGCCTCTAACAGCTTAGGTCTGACTGGTCTCCCCTTTAAAGAGTGGAGTAACTGATGCAGATGAGCAGTCCTGCAGACATGCACCAGTTTGTATGGACAGGTTGAACAGATGGGTAATAGGTGCAGCAATAACACGTGCTGCTGTTCTCAGAAGGAAAGGATCAAGAGTTTCCAGTCCAGCTGATTTATGAGGACCTAACCTGAGAAACTCGTCAGTACCTCGTTTACCTGAAACACCTGAACAGAGAAACAGGAAGTGGTTGTGGAGAGGGAATCGTTGAATATAGCTGACTCGAGGTCATGTCCCAGTTCAAATCAGCTGATAAGAAGAATTCAGAGGAGGAGTAGGGGCACAGGCAGGGGCGGATGAGCATCTGTAGCAGCCAGCAACAACCAAAGAGTAGCTTTTAGAGAGGTTAGTTCTCAGTAACAGCAGCTCAAAGTGTTTGGGCAAGGAGCTGGTTGTGTCTGGTTCTGGGTCCAGGACCGCTCTGGTTCTGAGGCTAACTAGAGGCTTTGGATCAGAGACCCTGTGGAGAAAGATCAGATGTTGGTTGTTAAAACATTTTGGAGCTGAGATGAAGAAACATGGAGGAAGGAAATCTGCCTTCTTGTTTTCCTTCCTGGTTTCTTGTTTTCTCCACGTTTCCAGTAACTTCCTCCCCCATCTCGTTCCTCAGGTGTGTGTTGACTCGGTTTTCCCAGCAGCTCTTTGAAGGAACCCTCGTGTGTGTTTTTCTGTTCTGGACTTTGGGTCGCAGCCAACACGAGGGTCCTCACAAGGACAGAAAGCTGACAGAGGTCTGGGCCGAGGGATGAAATGTTTTTACACGTGAAGTTTGGTGAAAGGCTTCAGTGTTGGAACACAAGTGGCTCTTTAATAATTCATTAACTCTGTTTTTCTCCAGATTCCTGGCTTGTTCAGACAGCTCTTGCTGCTGCAGACGTCGTTTTATTAGCATAAACATTTAACCTGGCTCGCGTTTAATCAGATGGCTAATCTGTGTGTTTCTGTCTGCAGCGATCTCAGTATGAATAATCTGACCCAGATGTCCAGCGGAGTTTTGTTCAACCTGCACTTCCTGGAGGAGCTGTGAGTCCATCTTCTCTTTGATCTTTGACCTTCAGGTCGACCACCTGGTGCAGAACATTTTAGAATTTCATTCCTGCTTCCAGAGGAAGAAACAAACAAACAAACATAAAATAAACAACATTCTAGCTTTCAGCTTACTAAACGGGGGAAAAACATGGAAATGTTTTCTAGTTTTTCTCCTAGTGCCAACAATATAGAGTGTTAAGTGTAGAAATAAGTAAATAATAATATAATATATTACTACTAATATCTTAGTGATCTGTGCGATCAGTCCTGCTGGTTGTGTTTAATATTTGTTTATTATGTTTGAAGTTTTTTGTATTTATTTGCTTTACTTTTGTTTTTGTGTCATTTTGATGTTTCCGTTGAAGATCAACTCAGTTTAGTTTGAATCATTTTAATACTTTAACTCTTGAATCTGAATCTTTTTCCTCTTTCTGCTCATGTTTTCTTTGAGCTTGTATAGTTATGTTATTGTCGTGTTTTCTTTGAGCTTGCGTAGTTATGTTGTTGTCATGTTTTCTTTGAGCTTGTGTAGATATGTTGTTGTTGTGTTTTCTTTGAGCTTGTGTAGTTATGATGTTGTCGTGTTTTCTTTGAGCTTGCGTAGTTGTGTTGTTGTCGTGTTTTCTTTGAGCTTGTGTAGATATGTTGTTGTTGTGTTTTCTTTGAGCTTGTGTAGTTATGTTGTTGTCGTGTTTTCTTTGAGCTTGTGTAGTTGTGTTGTTGTCGTGTTTTCTTTGAGCTTGTGTAGATATGTTGTTGTTGTGTTTTCTTTGAGCTTGTGTAGTTATGTTGTTGTCGTGTTTTCTTTGAGCTTGTGTAGTTGTGTTGTTGTCGTGTTTTCTTTGAGCTTGTGTAGTTATGATGTTGTTGTGTTTTCTTTGAGCTTGTGTAGTTATGTTGTTGTTGTGTTTTCTTTGAGCTTGTGCAGTTATGTTGTTGTCGTGTTTTCCTTGAGCTTGTGTAGTTATGTTGTTGTTGTGTTTTCTTTGAGCTTGTGTAGATATGTTGTTGTTGTGTTTTCTTTGAGCTTGTGTTGTTATGTTGTTGCCGTGTTTTCTTTGAGCTTGTGTAGTTATGTTGTTGTCGTGTTTTCTTTGAGCTTGTGTAGTTGTGTTGTTGTCGTGTTTTCTTTGAGCTTGTGTAGATATGTTGTTGTTGTGTTTTCTTTGAGCTTGTGTAGTTATGTTGTTGTCGTGTTTTCTTTGAGCTTGTGTAGTTGTGTTGTTGTCGTGTTTTCTTTGAGCTTGTGTAGTTATGATGTTGTTGTGTTTTCTTTGAGCTTGTGCAGTTATGTTGTTGTCGTGTTTTCCTTGAGCTTGTGTAGTTATGTTGTTGTTGTGTTTTCTTTGAGCTTGTGTAGATATGTTGTTGTTGTGTTTTCTTTGAGCTTGTGTTGTTATGTTGTTGCCGTGTTTTCTTTGAGCTTGTGTAGTTATGTTGTTGTCGTGTTTTCTTTGAGCTTGTGTAGTTGTGTTGTTGTCGTGTTTTCTTTGAGCTTGTGTAGATATGTTGTTGTTGTGTTTTCTTTGAGCTTGTGTAGTTGTGTTGTTGTCGTGTTTTCTTTGAGCTTGTGTAGTTATGATGTTGTTGTGTTTTCTTTGAGCTTGTGTTGTTATGTTGTTGCCGTGTTTTCTTTGAGCTTGTGTAGTTATGTTGTTGTTGTGTTTTCTTTGAGCTTGTGTAGTTATGTTGTTGTCGTGTTTTCTTCGAGCTTGTGCAGTTATGTTGTTGTCGTGTTTTCTTTGAGCTTGTGTAGTTGTGTTGTTGTCGTGTTTTCTTTGAGCTTGTGTAGTTATGATGTTGTTGTGTTTTCTTTGAGCTTGTGCAGTTATGTTGTTGTCGTGTTTTCCTTGAGCTTGTGTAGTTATGTTGTTGTTGTGTTTTCTTTGAGCTTGTGTAGATATGTTGTTGTTGTGTTTTCTTTGAGCTTGTGTTGTTATGTTGTTGCCGTGTTTTCTTTGAGCTTGTGTAGTTATGTTGTTGTCGTGTTTTCTTTGAGCTTGTGTAGTTGTGTTGTTGTCGTGTTTTCTTTGAGCTTGTGTAGATATGTTGTTGTTGTGTTTTCTTTGAGCTTGTGTAGTTGTGTTGTTGTCGTGTTTTCTTTGAGCTTGTGTAGTTATGATGTTGTTGTGTTTTCTTTGAGCTTGTGTTGTTATGTTGTTGCCGTGTTTTCTTTGAGCTTGTGTAGTTATGTTGTTGTTGTGTTTTCTTTGAGCTTGTGTAGTTATGTTGTTGTCGTGTTTTCTTCGAGCTTGTGCAGTTATGTTGTTGTCGTGTTTTCTTCAAGTTGTGTAGTTATGATGTTGTTGTGTTTTCTTTGAGCTTGTGTAGTTATGTTGTTGTCGTGTTTTCTTCGAGCTTGTGTAGTTATGTTGTTGTCGTGTTTTCTTCAAGTTGTGTAGTTATGATGTTGTTGTGTTTTCCTTGAGCTTGTGTAGTTATGTTGTCGTGTTTTCTTTGATCTTGTGTAGATATGTTGTAGTGTTTTCTTGTGGTATTCAGTCTCGTTTGTTTAGTTTTCTGTCAAATTTGACTCAGATTCAGGAGGTGTGTGTCTCTTTGGTCATTTGGACTTTCAGAGCTTCAGGACTCGTCTTCGGGCTCTGCTGTAAAGTTGTCTGTGATTCAGGTCCTTTTCTCACTCTACAGATGCTTCTTTGTTCTCGTGTCTGCTGACAGAGTTAAACTCCTCATTAGAACAGCTCAGGATGGGCTGCATGGTGGCGCAGTGGTTAGCACTGTTGCCTCGCAGCACGAAGGTCGCAGGTTCAAAACTCGCCTTTCTGCGTGGAGTTGCGTGTTCTCCCCACGCATGCGTGGGTTTCCTCCGGGTACTCCGGTTTCCCCCACAGATCACAACATGCCCTATAGGTTATAAAAATTGTACGTCGCTTTGGATAAAAGCGTCTGCTAAATGAATAAACATAAACATAAACAGGATCTCCTGCATGACACGTTTATTATTTGTTATTTCTGGAGTTCTGGTCCTGGACCTGTCCTTCCAGATGCAGTCTGATCTGAACCCTGAGATCTGATGTTTAGGTCCGTCTGAAGCAGAGTTGAGTCCCGGCCGAACAACTGGATCTAAACTAAACAGCAGCTGGGGGAGGCGAGCTGACCTCAGCGAGACCTGAACCTGACTCTGACTGCTGTTCTGCTGTCCTGCCAGCTGTGTGTGTGTGTGAGTGTGTGTGATATTTGTCACCGTGGCGTGAGAAACATCACGGCGGCGATAGGACACCACAGGCCGGCTGAACTCCGTTTGGCCTCTGAAACACAAACAGACCTGCAGCTCCAAGACAAAATGAGAACATGTCTGTTCTCGTACCGGGAACTCATCAACAAACTGAAGCTGTCAATAGTTTCTTCTGCCATGGGTCCGATTCAGGTCCACATCCTGAGTGTAATCGATGAGTATGGTGGCCTGTGAGGTGCAATCAGATTGGTGCAAAACCCTTGTTGCTGATTTAAAGACGTTGATCAACCAAAGAAACCTTTAAAAAGTAAAAATAAAGACAATCAGCAGGAATCCATAAATGTTCTCTAAATCAGACGTTTAACCCTTTATTCTACCTGCGGGTGATCGACAGACTCTTCATTTGCTGTTTTAGAATTTTAACATTTTTTTCTTACTTTACCTTTTGTTGTGAAACCTGTTTATGTGTCCTAGTAAGGCTACCATAGGGGGAGCCACTAGAGGTCGCTAGAATACAGGTGTAGAAATGTTCTTTTTCTCCGGAAAATTGATGTAGACACGTTGCTGTTGCTGCAAGAGAATAAAAGCGGTTTGTGCTTGAGAACGCTGCGTCTTATTGCCTCTGATCATGACATGGTGTTAGAAGTGAGGACTTCACACCGAGTTACACGGAGAAATGGCTAAATTTGGACCTCCGGAGCCGTTCGACTTTACACGGCCGGCAGAGTGACCAATATGGCGGCAGAGATTCTCTCATTTTCGAGTGGCATCCAAGCTAGGGATGGAGAGCGGCGAAGTGCAGGTGAACTCGCTTCTTTACTCTATGGGGAGGGATGCCAAACCAATATATGGCTCATTTGTGTTTCCTGCTGCTACTGAGGCCAGGCCAAGTCCGCAGTTTGAGTATGATCTGGTTATACAAAAGTTTGACGAGCACTTCGTCCCAAAGAGAAACGTTATCCACGACCGTGCCTGTTTTCACAAACGGAGCCAGAGGGCCAGGGAGACGGTCGAGGCTTTCGTGCGGAGCCTGTACAAATTCGCGCAGCACTGCGAGTTCGGCGGCGGTAACGACGAGCAGATCCAGGACCGCATCGTTATTGGATTAATTGACAAAGATGTTTCACAAAAACTGCAGCCCGAGGCGGACTTAACTCTGGATAGAGCCATTCAACTGGCACGCCAGAGTGAACAAGTCAAACAGCAAAGTGTGGAGCATGTGGAAAGCACTGTGAGTGAGGTGAAACAGAGGCATTATAACAGCACGAGAAGGAGTTACTACCAACCTCGTCAGGTACGTGAGCAACGACAAGGTGCAACAGGGTGCATGACAAAAGAGAAAACTGCCCAGCCCGCAATAAAAGATGCAGAAAGTGCAATAAGTTGGGACACTTTGAAGTTGTATGCAAAACCAAAATGCTAAAAGAGGTCAGGGCTGAGGCTGTAGAGGACGCAGATGAGGATTCAATCTTCATAGGGGAGCTTTTCCTGGGAGCAGTGACTGAGCAAAAAACTACAGTCATTGAGGAGTCAGCCTCAGATGCCAACTGGGACATTGAGCTACTGGTAAATGGCAATCCAGTTGATTTCAAGATTGATACAGGTGCAGACACCACTGTTATGGCAGAAACGACCTTTAATAAGCTCCAGCAGAGACCCAAACTTATCCAGTGTAAGCCAACGGTGTACAGCCCTGGTGGAAAAGTCAGGTGCATGGGTAAATTCCTTGCTACTACAGTGTACAAAGGCCAAAAGTACCAGTACTGGATCAGAGTTATAAGATGGCAATACGCAAGTA